CAAATATTTAGAATCTTCACTAGAAAGTTTTGACCCACCTCACCACGCATAAACTGTTAACATTTACTTTAGACAAAGATTTAATTAAATGTTGACAGAATTAACAAAACCTTTCTTGTTATATCAATGCGTTCAAAGATTGCCCGTTCAAGAATAAAGCTATTGAACTTAAAGGTTGAGATTTTCAATAAGTGATAACGAGGACCAACTCTACTAATGGGCTTGGTCCAAAGAACGAACTCAATCATTGTTTTAATATTGCATGCGTTCTATAGGTTTATCTGGTGATATACATTTTGACGACGATGAAATCTGGACTATAAACGGGGAACAAGACACCACAGATTACACCTGGACAGCTCTACATGAAATTGGTCATGCGTTGGGATTACGTCATTCTCGCGAGCAAGACGCTATTATGTGGCCATGGTTTACAGGATATAAGGCCGATACGAGGTTGACGCAGGATGATATTAATGGGATTCAGGCTATTTATGGTGAGGCTAACATAAATCACATGAAGTTTTGTTGGAAAATGTAACTAGCTCCAGAGGAGTAATGAAAATTTTCTGTAGATGGGGTTTTAATGACTTCAATGGTTTCAGTTTTATCAGTTAAAGACGAGACGTCCAAAATGTTGATAAAACAATTTCTGGATTTTTCACGTAGTTGCATTCTTCATACATTTGTGAATATTATCATATCAGTTTGAAAACCCAACGAACTGCAGGTTATTCTTTGATAAAATTTTAACCACTGATCTGTTAAACTTTCTAAAGAGTTGGCTAGAACATTCACAATAACTAGCTTCTGTCTTTTGTTCTTAAAATCTTGGTGTCTAGTTTGCAAACTAACATGCCTAAAGGCTAGAACTGTTACGCCCGTTCAATCGAATCGATCTCCAATAAATAATTTTCCACTGGCAGAATTCGCGGGAAAAACAAAAGCAATGTGGCGGTCCTAAATCAGAGAAGACTTCATAAGTTGATTATTTTAAGGCGAATATTTAGAAGAGAAAAGTACAAAAACAGATTCTGGATGCGAGAAATGAAACAAAGAAATGAAATCTGAGTAATCTGATTGATCTCTAACAACTACGTGAGCTAACGGTCGCGCGAGTTCGCCTGGAAAGTTGAAAATATTTCAACTTCAATCGCGTGTCTGCGAGCACCAGAGCGAACGTAAACTCGTACACAAGAAACCTGCTGCGTATGCCCAAACGAGATCGCTTCAAACATTTACGCCTGTATTCAAAAAGCTCACTCACACTCACACTTGAGTGTGACTCGAATGAGATGCACTCAAGTAGGGTTGAAGTGTGAGTGAGAGTGGAGTATGAGTGTGAGTGTCCACTCAACGAGGGAGCACTCACCCTTGAAAATATTAGCTAGATTTGTATTCAAAGAGCTCACTCGAGTGTGACTTGCTGGAGTTTGGGTTTGATGTTAAAGTATAATTAACGAAAGAAGGTATATAAACTAGTGAGACTGTTGTAGATTTGTCAATGCTTTCGTACAGCGTTGGTGAACAATATGGCTGAAGGCAGACAATATTTTTCGCAATTGAAAAAGTCGCTCTTAACTAAATTAGTGCAAAAGCACAAAGATCTTGTAGAAAATTAAAAAGTTTGATAATATTATAAAACCATACAACAGAAAATTAACACGTGGGAAGGTTTATCCGAACAATTCAATTCCCAGTCAGGTGTGAAGAAGAGGGATTCGAAGCAGTTTAAAAACCTGAGCGTCAACAAAAGTTGTATATCTGCGAGAATGGGCTTTCCTCGGTCGTTGTGTGCAGATATTTCTGGCCTAATTATATCCGTAACTTTCGAAATCCAGCCTCAGTTTATACCCGGTATCTGCATCGAAATTTCTCCTCGTCATATTTCCCATAATCAAAAATATATGGTCTCCTCCATCTCTGTTGTTTCTTGCGACACTGTCCAGTAATTCTGACCTTCTTAACCACCTGTCCATCATATTTGAATCACCAAGTACAAGGTGAGTCTAACTGAGTGCGGCTCAAGGGACGTATACCTCTCACTCACACTTTACTCAAAATCGGAGCTTCACTTGAGTGTGAGTGGTGTCTTTGAATAGTTGGAGTGTGAGTGTCGCATTAGACTATGTTAGTGTGAGTGGACACTCATTGAGTGGTGAGTTGCACTCATTAACAACGAGTGTCCACTCATTGAGTGTTAGTGTGAGTGAGCTTTTTAAATACAGGCGTAAGATTTGGCGCAATTTTTCATTTATTTATTTTTTATTACAGTAGTCATATAAATAATTGTCTTTGTTTATGCCTTAACCATTACTATACCTAGTGCATTCATTGTTTTAAGGTAATTTATATAAATCTTGCTTGCACCATGCTGCCAAAATTTTTACTCCCAATATTTAATTTATTGCATGTCCTGTGCGATACAGGTACAAACATTTTAAAAAGTGCAGCAAAAGTTCAAAGTACTATCTAAACATTTAAATATGTTTGATGCGAAACCAGGATTATTCATATTGAGTATAGACGTTCTCTGGTTAAAATATTTATTTTTTTACAAGCTTTCGACTGTCAGTCTACAGTCTTCAATGGGTAGATTAAACAGTTTAGATTTCTTATCAACAATAAACATTAATCATTTCTGTTTAACATAGCCACTACAGTATTGTATAGCTGTCACTTACAGGGTACGTCATTGTGTATACCGTATATGTAATTGTAAACCTCGCATCACTTTCATTATAATCTACCTGTTGAAGACTGTAGACTGACAGTGGAAGGCTTGTAAAAAAAAAATTATGCAGAGAACGTCTATACTCAGTACTACCTAAACAATACTGGTACAACAAAAATCAATGTTTCAACCAGAGGCTCTTTTGATGTTGTTATTAACTACCCACACTGGCCAAATATTGAAAGTGAGGTTTGTTTTACAAACATTTTATTTTTTTAATTATTTTTATGCATATTGTACAATAGAATATCACTTGCAGTGGTTTGTGGCCTAACCAACCCAGCAATACGTCACAAGCAGTTGTGTGTCAGATATGATAACCAATCATGATACCTATGTTGTTGAAGTATGCAGATCAAATCCTTTGCTACCAGTCAATGCCGGCAAGTCTTACTGCTTTTGCACTTCAGGATTATGACAATTTCATGAGACAATTAAAGGTACGTACTGTATTTTATATTCATATGATATGCAGTGTACAACATGTATTAGTGTCGAACATGTACAGCTGATTATTTACACTTACACTCTTTTATACACTGAAGATGTTTCACTGTGAATGTGATCTAGTAATTTGTACGAATTGCTTAAATTTTCAGTTAGGTCACTTGAGGAATCAAACACTGATATCTTCTACAGAAACACACATGGTGACTCCAAAAATTAAATTTGATTTTTTCCCTATTTTCTAGAGTAAAACTTTTCTTTTAATTCGGAGAAGCTTGCATCGTTTCATTGATGGAACTGTGAAATGGGTGTATCAATGTTCATGCAGTTCCAGTTGGGAAAACTTATAAATTCAATGAACATCAGCATTACAATGGTAAGTGCTTATTCAGATACTTTATATGGTTGAAAATTTTCAGAATTTAGTTAAATCCTACAAGGTGGAAGATCAATTAGACATTGGTATTGCAAACAATTTTTACAACAATGACATTATTTCATGGTTCAGTTGCTTCATAAATACAATTTTAGGAATTACAGTATTACCCATTCTTTTTTCCCAATGTTCCAAATGACAGAACTTTTGGTAGACAATCCAGCATGTGTGCATTGCTTGGTGACTGAGCATATTTTAGAGAGCCTTGAGCGTTTTAATGGAAGCCTTCCGTTTGTTGTTGACCCAGAAGGTGCAGTATTTATCATATTTGCCAGTGTGGTTGTTTGGTACTTTATAGAAAGCTGGCAAGCCTATGAGTGCGAGAAGCTCAGTAGTTGGGCTTGAATAAATGTTGTGTTATTATTCTGGGGTATTTTTAAAGCCAATTCTAACATTTTTCTTTTGTTGATGTTATCTTTTTAGAGGGCAACTCTTTGCCATTGGACCATGACTATTTTGTGAGTACAATGTTATCAACTGTTTTGGGAACGTACGTACTGTATCTAGATAAAATTGGTGACACGTTTTTGCTATATACCTATACCTAGAGTAGATAGATGTCTGGTATCCTATTTTATTGCTTTTATTTGTTTTTGTACTGTACGTCAGGAACATCATCAATCTCACAACGTTTTCGAGTAGCCCTCAGTAGAAATAGTTTGTGTCTATGCTGAAAATGATTACGGGTTTGTTTGCATGGATAATAAAGGGTTCAAATGCTCCACTTGTAATTTTAATGCTCATTCCTGTCGTCACATCGAATTTCTTGAAGAAAAAATCAATCAAGACGATGTAGGTTTACCTGATTTCGTCTGTGAGATGTACCATCTGACCAAAAAACGTTAACAGCGTAAAGTTCAATGAAAACCTTGCTGCGTGAGTGAGAAAACAATACAGTTCCATCAACCTTTACACATCCAACAGATATTGGGTAGTCCTATTTATCAATCCCTAGCACAGGATGATGGAACTTTAATTTTTATCCCACGTAGTAGCGGCGTATGTGGCCGTTGCAGCTGTTCTTGGAGTCTGCGAAGCCCTGTCGAAGAAACCTGGAAGGATGAAAATCTTCTCCTTCATACTATGAATATCATTTATCCGTGTACCAGTATGTGTATTCAGGGACGCCGGAACGATAATAAGGTAAAGGGGGGCGGACGCACACCAAGGGCACCTCTATAGAGCAAAACTTCAAAATCTACCGGAAAACTTTTTTTCAATCGCAGATTTTGGGCGACCTCCC